CATTTTCTGTGGCCGTTTGCGGTCCGATACGCTGCGCATCAGCTCAACCTCTATCCCCGTGTCTCTGAGCCAGAGACCTCGCCCACACTCCGGTGGACGGGGAAGGTTGGCGATGCGTCGGTGTTTTGGGTCTGGGGCGTGCTCTCCCTTGTTCGCGATGCCAAAGTGAGCAAGCTCTCCTCTCGCACTCTCCGCTGCGTCTTCCTTGGCTTCCCCACCAATGCCCCGCCGTGGCAGTTCTACCACCTGCGCTTGCGTCGAGTCTTCTCCTCCCAGGACGTCACCTTTGATGAGTCTGTCTTGTCTCCACAGGCTACACCTGCCGCGTCCCACCCGGTCCCCCTAGCGCCTCTTTTCTTGGTACCAGTCCCCCCTCCCCCCACAGGGTCCTGCTCCCTTAGGTGTGTCTCAGGTAGACCCACCCCCCTTGGTTGAGCCTTTGGAGATCTCTTATGACTCCTCTGGCCCAGCTGAGGGGGGTGACCCCGCCGCTGACGACACGGCGGCCACTCGCCGCTCTCCACGCTTGGAGACCCCCCCCTAGTTTTCCGCCTCGGCCGTGTTCGCCGCCTCCGCAGCCTGCTGCTGTGGACTCTGGAGCTGAGACTGCTGGTGTTGAGCCTTGGGGTGCTGAGACAGAGGGTGAGGGTTCTGGGGGTGCTGCAACTGGGGGTGCTATGACTGGGGGTGCTGGTTCTCGGGGTGCTGTGACTGGGGGTGCTGGTTCTTGGGGTGCTGCGACTTGGGGTGCTGACTCTGGGGGTCCTGCGAGTCCTAGTGGCGGTGGAGCTGTGGGTGACCCTGCTAGAGGTCCTGGAGCTGGACAGCCACCGCAGCCTGACCTACTTGAGACGCTCTCGCCACAGGCGATTCGTGCGTGGATCGTTCGTCGAGGCAATCCTGGTGGTGGAGGGTACAGTCCTGCTGGTGCTGGAGCTGCTAGTCCTGGAGGTAATGCTAGTGCTGGAGGTACTGGAGGTACTGCTGGAGGTGCTGGAGGTGCTGATGGTGCTGGAGGTACTAGAGGTGCTGCTGGTGCTGGAGGTGCCGGAGCTACTAGTCCTAGAGGTGCTAATGGTGCTGGAGGTGCTGGACCTACTAGTCCTGGAGGTACAGCTGGTGCTGGAGGTGCTGGAGGTGCTGCTGGTGCTGGAGGCAATGGAGCTAGAGGTAATGGAGGTGCTGGAGCTGCTGGTCCTGGAGGTGCTCGTACTGGAGGTGCTGGAGCTGCCGGAGCTGGTGGTGCTGTTCGTGCTGGAGGTGCTACTAGAGCTGCTGGCAGTGGAGGTACTGGAGGTACTGCTGGTGCTGGAGGTGCTGGAGCTGCCGGAGCAGGTGGTATTGCTGGTGCTGGAGGTGCTGGAGGTACTGCTGGTGCTGGAGGCGCTAGAGCTGGAGGTACTGGAGTTACTGGAGGTGCTGGAGCTGCTGGTCCTGGAGGTGCTCGTACTAGAGGTGCCGGAGCTGCCGGAGCATGTGGTGCTGCTGGTGCTGGAGGTGCTGGAGGTGCTAATGGAGCTACTGACACTGGAGGTGCTGGAGGTACTACTGGAGCTAGAGGTCCTGGCGCTGCCGGAGCTCGTGGTACTGCTTGTGCTGGAGGTGCTGGAGGTGCTACTGGAGCTGCTGGTGCTGGAGGTGCTGGTGCCGCTGGTGCTGGAGGAGCTGGAGCTGCTAGTTCTGCCCCGCGCCGATTGTTTTTCTACCCGCAACCGCAGTCGTCCCTGCCGCCGCCTGACTCGGTCCTTTCCTAGGTACTTAGTCTCCCGTCTTCCACTGGCCTCACTCCACCTCTCCTGTGTTCACAGACAGACTAGTCTCTGCCACAGCTACTGCCTGGCTCCTTGCTGCCTGCTCCTGCTCCTCACACTGAGGTGACTGAGTCCCTTACTGAGCGTCGTGAGCCTGAGACTCATGCTTCCACACCTATTTGTGCTCGTCGTGTTGCCCGTCCTCGTCCTCCTGCTGTCACAGGCACTCACGGTATGGCACTTCGTCCTTCCTCTGTTCCACAGCGTGTTGTCCTACCTGGGCCTCCCACGTCCTCTCTCCCGCACGTTCTCGACCCTGAGTCCAACCTTGCTCGTGATGCCAGTCCTACTGTCACTTGTCTCCTCGCTACTGTCGTCACTGACCCTGACCTTGAGTCTACTGCACCGTTTGCCCTAGTCACCGAGCTAGTCAACTTTGCAGCTAGGAGTTGTCTCGACTACGTCGCGAGTCTTGTCACTGAGTCTGAATCTGTCTGTCCTCCATCCGTCGGGGGTGAGCCTGCCCTTAGCAGTGACGTACTTGACGACAGACAATTTGAGCTTGAGTGTCTTGCGGCCGATTTACCTCGTTTCGCATCCATGCTGCTTTGCCCTGAGGGAGACCCGGATGCACTTGACATCCCTATCCCGCGCTCTTACGCTGAGGTGATCGCGGGTGAGTACTCCTCTCAATTGCAGACAACCATGGACGCAGAGATGGCTTGGAAGTCCACAAGCACCTACATCGACGAGGTTCCTCCTCCTGGGGCGAACATCGTCTATGGCATGTGGATTTTCAGAGTGAAGCGGCCGCCGGGTTCTCCGCCTGCCTTCAAGGCGCGTTACGTTGCTCGAGGCTTTAGACAGCGACAGGGGGTCGACTTCTTCCAGACCTTCTCCCCCACTCTGAAGATGACTACTCTTCGGGTGCTGCTGAACGTTGCAGCACAACGTGACTACGAGCTGCACTCCCTCGACTTCTCCACAATTTTCCTGCAGGGCAGCCTTCATGAGGAGATCTGGCTGCGCTGCCCACCCGGCTTCACTGGGTCGTTTCCTGCGGGTACTCAGTGGAGCCTCCGGCGGCCTGTCTACGGTCTTCGCCAGGTGCTTCGAGAGTGGCACGACACATTGAGGACTGCACTTGCGGCTCTTGGGTTTGCTCCTTCCTTTCCTGACCCGTCGGTGTTTCTACGCACCGACACTACCCTGCCACCGTTCTACGTTCTCGTGTACGTCGACGACTTGGTTTTTGCTACTACTGACACTGAGGCGCTGCCCCAGTGAAGGCGGAGCTGCAGGAGAGACACACCTGCACTGACCTGGGTGAGATGCGTAGCTATCTTGACATGCAGATCACCCGGGACAGAGCACGGCACACCATCACCCTGACTTTGTCACACATGGTGCACCAGGTCCTTCAGCGCTTCGCCTTCTAGTTCTCCTTGCCACAGCCCACTCCTCTGTCTACCGGCCACTCGCTCTCAGCTCCACCTTCGGACGAGTCCGTAGAGCAGAGTGGTCCGTACCCAGAGCTTGTGGGTTGCCTCATGTACCCGATGATGTGCACACAACCTGACCTCGTGTACCCTCTCAGCCTCCTGGCTCGCTATGTGGCTCCCGGTAGACACCGAAAGGTGCACTGGGATGCTGCGAAGAGGGTACTGCGTTACTTGTGCATTACATCAGGCATGGGGCTCATCCTTGGAGGACAGGGTTCAATGGTACTCACAGGACACTCCGACGCTTCTTGGGCCGACGACCAGGCGACTCAGCGTTCGTCACAGGGTTACACCTTCAGTCCTGGCTCTGGTTCTGTCTTGTGGAGGTCCACTCGTTCTTCTTTTGTGCTTAGTTCCAACTGTGAGGCCGAGATCTACGCTGGGGCCATGGCTGCACAGGAGCTACGCTGGCTGACCTACCTGCTGACCGACTTGGGGGAGCGGCCTTGTTCTCCTCCAGTTTTGTACGTCGACAACAAGGCAATGCTTGCCTTGTGTGAGGACCAGAGACTGGAGCACAGAACGAATCACATTGATCTTCGCTACTTCCTTGCGCGTGAGCTGCAACAGCATCGTCAGCTCAGCCTTTCCTACGTGGCCTCGCAGGCCAACACTGCTGATGTGTTCACCAAGGCCCTTGGGTCTGGTGATCATCAGCGTTTCTGCACTGCTCTTGGGCTTGTGCCCACTCTGCCTCACCTGCTAGTTGCTTGACTTGCACTTGTTATACACTGATATATATCTTTATACCTGCTTGTTTACTCTTGCTAGGTTGTGATCAGTGTACTACCTTGCTATTATAACTCTGCATGTGAACTGGCCTTATGGTCGCTTTCTTGTGCTCAGATTGTATGGTGTCCTTGAGATCCACCCTTAGCTTTGCTTAGCTTTGTTCTCTTGCTTGACTAGTCTTGTGACGGTACGTTGTGTTTGCTTTCTCCCACTTCGCCTATGGGGGTGTGTCAAACTATATGTTTGTGTTCTCTTTAGGCTATAGTGGGTTAGCCTACAAGGGGTACAACACTTTAGTGTTAGTACCTGTACCCAACTTATTCATAGTTCATCCATTCCTGCACAGTGATTCTGACACGCACTTCTGATGTGTCGAGCACTACAACAAAAGCGAAGCGAACTGAAGCAAAGCAACAGCGAGTCAACCAAAGCGGTTGACAGAAAGACAACAGCAAGAGGTTTAGTGAAGGTCAAAGGTCAGCGAGCTTTGACTCGCCGAAAAGCAGCACGACAGCAAGGACACATAGCTGACTCACTATTTAGCAGTTACCCGAGTCGTCACTGTATCGAACCGCAACCGCAGTTACATTTAGTGAAACCTTTCATATTCCTTTGTAATCATATAAAGCTTTGTATACCTTTGCAATGATTAAATTATATTGTTCTCACACACCACTGCAAGGTAGTTCAATCAGTTCACTATTACGCTTCCTCTAATACATCACTACTCTGAGTCTTTAGTCTTGAAAACGATTCTAAGGGCTTTTCTTATCCCAACATGGTATGATTGTCAAACTTATATGCTATAGTCTATCTAGGCTGTAGTGGGGTAGTTCATATAGGGTACAACACTTTTAGGTTTTCTACTTGTACCCACCTGCTTTTTAGTTCATCCACTCCGTTCCTGATTCTAACATGGTATTCTGAGCAGGTTCCCTCGCGGGAACGTTTTTTTTAGGGCCCACCACGAATTGTTTTTTTTCCTGCCCTGCCCGCAGCGCGCTTTGCGCCTGCCTCACCCTGCCGCCGTGGCCCCTATTGCCGTCGCGGCCCCTGCTGCCGTCGCAGCCCCTACTGCCGTCGCGGCCCCTGCTGCCGACGCGGCCCCTGCTGCCGATGCGGCCCTTCCTGCCGTCGCGGCCTCTACTGCCGTCGCGGCCTCTACTACCGTCGCGGCCCTTGCTGCCGTCGCTGCCCCTGCTGCCGACGCGGCCCCTGCTGCCGTCGCGGCCCCTGCTGCCGTCGCGGCCCCTACTACTGTCGTGGCCCCTGCTGCCGTCGCGGCCTCTGCTGCCGTCGTGGCCCCTGCTGCCGTCGCGGCCCCTGCTGCCGTCGCGGCCCCTGCTGCCGTCGCGGCCCCTGCTGCCGTCGCGGCCCCTGCTGCTGTCGCGGCCCCTGCCGTCGCGGCCCCTTTGCTGTCGCGGCCCCTGCAGTCACGCCCCTGCTTTCGCGGCCCTGCCCTGCACCCGCCCCTGGTAAGCACCCGCGCCGCACTGCTGCGCCACGCCGCCAGGAGCTGAGCCACGCCGCCAAGCCGAGCCGTGCCGCCTAGCTGAGCCGCGCCGCCCAGCTGAGCCGCGCCGCCCAGCCGAGCCGCGCCGCCCAGCCGAGCCGCGCCGCCTGCCGAGCCGTGCCGCCCTACCGAGCCGCGCCGCCCTACTGAGCCGCACTGCCCTGCCTGCACTGCTACTGCTGCTACTGCTACTACTGCTGCTACTGCTGCTATGGCTAGCCCTACTGTTCTCACCTTTGATGCTGAGGGGCGTGCAGTTGACTTTGACATGTGGGTTGATGACCTGCAGCTCTTTCTTCAGTGTGACTCTAGGGATGGGGTATCCCTTTTCGATCACACGTCCGGTGTCTCCACTGCTCCTGCTGCCACTGCTGATAGTACTGTTCGCTCGCAGTGGACAACTCGTGATGCTGTTGCTCGCCTTATTGTTCGTAGTCACTTGCCGCCTGCTGAGCGTGCACATTTTGGACAGTACAAGACTGCTAAGTCTTTGTACGACGCTGTAGTTGCGCGCTACTTCTCCCCTGCCACTGCTGCCCTCAGCCGCCTCATGCTGCCGTACCTTTTCCCTGACGTTGCCACCTTTGCCACAGTTGCTGACCTCATTACTCACCTCCGCACTAGTGACGCCCGCTACCGCGGTGCGCTTCCCACTGAGTTCTGTGCCAAGAACCCCCCCCCCATGTACATCACCCTGTACTACCTAGTCACCCGCCTCCCTGACTCCCTTGCTTCAGTCAGGGACCACTTTCTCTCCCTTTGCCCCACCGAGCTCACTGTCGACCTGCTAGAGGAGCGCCTCGCTGCAGCTGAGAAGAGTATCTTAGCTGTAGGTGCTTCTCGCGGCGACCGTCGCACCCCTTTCATTGAGGGGTGTTCCCCTTTCCCCCTTCTCCCCTCTGTTGCTTCTGCTGCTGCTGTCGACCTCGTTGGCACTGAGGAGGCCGGGGCTGCGTCTGCTCCTAGTGGGAGGCGCCGCAACAGCAAGGGCAAGGGGAGCAAGGGTGGTGGAGGGGATGGCGGGGGCGGCGACGGAGGCGGTGGAGGAGGCGGAGGGGGTGGCGGTGGAGGTGGGGGTGGTGCCGGGAGTGGGGGCATCAGTGGCGGCGGTGGAGGTGGTGGAGGCAGCGGTGGAGGTGGTGGCAGCGGCAGTGGTGGTGGAGGTGGCGGCGGCGGTGGTGCTGGTCGAGGTGCAGCCGCGCAGCGTGGAGGCTTTGGTGGTAGCCAGCGCCAGCAGCAGCCGCGTTCCCGTGAGACCCCGTCGGCCCAGCAGCTTCGTGAGTGGTACGCTGGGCGTGGGAGGTCTGGGGGTGCTGGTCCCTGCACATACGTCCTTCGCACCGGCGGGCGTCGTGGGGAGACGTGCGGGCTGCCACACACTGCGCAGCGCTGCTTCGGTCGCCTGACTGACGCCTGGCGCGCCCAGTTTCCTGACGCTGTTGAGCTCCCTTGCTGGGGTGATCTGCTTAGGCAGAATGTGGCTATCTTTAATCTTGATTTCGATGCTATCCTTGCTGCCATGTATGCTTTGACTGATAGTGCTGAGGGTGACTATTACCTGAGTGTCCCGCCCGACCCGGGCATTGAGGCTGCTGCTCTAGGTGCTAGTGCGTCTGCTGCTCCAGGTACTGGTGAGTCTGCTGCTCCAGGTGCTGGTGAGTCTGCTCTCTCTGGTACTGCACCTACTGAGGCCTTACACACTTTCACACTTGACTCTGGTGCTTCGCGCTCTTTCTTTCGCGACAGCTCCACACTCACGCCGCTCAGTCGGCCTGTCGTAGTCTCCCTGGCTGACCCCTCCGGGGGCCCAGTCCTTGCGCACTCTTCCACGGTTCTACCGTGTCCTGCGGCCCCGTCGGGCTTGCTGTCGGGACTCCACCTCCCCTCGTTCTCTACGAACCTGGTGAGTGGAGCTGACCTCTAGGATGCGTGGGTTGACCAGTTCACCCCTGGAGGTCAGCGTGTGACCCACTGCACTTGCTCTCGGACGGGCCGCCACCTGGCCACGTTCACCTGTCGGCCTGGGTTGAGTCTGTACACACTGACTACTGCGTCTCCTCCGGTCACTGCGTTTGGTCAGGTAGCCGCGTCTAGTCAGGTGTTTGCTGCCGCGTCCTGGTCTAGTCTAGAGTCTGCCCCCTGCTCGTGTCGTCCTCTGTCACACGAGACTCTCCTTTGGCACCACCGCCTTGGTCACCCCTCCCTGCCTTGTCTTCGAGGTATGGCCTCCCGTACCCTTGTCTCGGGTCTACCCCGGTCCCTCCCTCCCCTTCCTCTGGGGCCTGCCCCTACCTGTGTTCCTTGTGTCGAGGGACGGCAGCGCGCCGCTCCTCACTCCTCCACGTTCCCTCCGATAGAGGCTCCTCTGCAGACTCTTCACATGGACGTGTGGGGCCCAGCTTGCGTCCGTGGACAGGGTCACGAGCGTTACTTCCTGCTGGTCGTTGACGACTACTCGCGTTACACCACAGTCTTCCCCTTGCGCAGCAAGGGTGAGGTACCTGAGGTGTTGATCGACTGGATCCGCGGTCCTCGTCGCCAGCTCAGCGAGCGTTTCGGCTCGGACCCTGCGCGCCCTGCAGCCCTGCGCGCCACGTGCGCCCTGCTGTCCTGCGCGCCCCGCGCGCCCTGCGGCCCTGTGCGCCCCGCGCGCCCTGCTGCCCTGCTGCCCTGTGCGCCCCGCGCACCCTGCAGCACTGCGCGCCACGCGCGCCCTGTTGTCCTGCGCACCCCGCGCGCCCTTCTGCCCTGCTGCCCTCTGCACGCGCATCTGCGGCCCCATGCATCGCCTCTACCCCCCCCCCCCCCCCCCCCCCCCCCCCCCCTTCTCCTCCCTCTCCCTGCTGCACGTGCAGCAGTTTGGGTGGGAGGGGAGGGGAGGGGAGGGGAGGGTGTGAGGGGGAGGTTGCACCTACAGCGCCAGCCTGCCTCCTCTCTCTCCCAGCCGCACCTGCTGCTGTGGGGGGGAGTGTGAAGTGGTGGGGAGGCTCAGGAGATGTGGGTGGTGGGTGACACAATTGCCGCAAATGTCGCCACACCTCCTCCTCTCTCTCCTCACTGCTGCTGCTGCTGCTGTGCAGGGGGAGGTTGAGGGGGTGCTGTGAGTCCAGCTGCAGCATCAGCCGCCTCCTCCTCATTTGCCCTCTCCTTCTTAAGCTGCGCAGGGTGTACTCCTTCAGGGGGTGTTTTGGACATGGCTATTCTTGCATGCAGTTAAGGGGTGTGTCAGAATATATTATATATATATTTCTGTATAACTGCAGATAGTTATAGCTGTAGTGTAGTTACTGTTTTAGTCCCTGTAGGTGGTGCACCCTTTGCCATCTCTCGCTCCTATATCTTGTACCTTGCTTTCTTAGTGAGTCACTTCTTCCTTGCTATCTCAACTCTCTCAACACTTGCCTAGCTCACACCCTAGCTATGGCTCATACGCTTTTAATAAAGGGGTACAACCCAATTAAGGTTAGTACTTGTACCCAACTCTTTCATAGTGCATTCATTCTCGTTCATTCCTTTGACAGAGCATGGTCAAACTCTGGGTCCAGAACGTCAGACGCAGGAGGAGACGGCAGGGCAACAGGCTATGGAACAGAGGAAGGACGAAGTGGCATAGTGTGCGTGCCGGGGACAGGCAGAGAACGAACACGATGAGCACGACGAACAGCGCCAACATGCGAGGCAAGACAAAACGCAGGCTCACGATGCTCTATCAGGGAGTTTGTCTGCTGAGTGTTAGGAGAAGGAGCAGGCAGAGGAGAGTATGGCTGTACTTGTGGTTGAGACGGGTCAGGTGGTGGACAAAGTAGAGGAGGAGTAGTGCCAGTAGACGAAGGAAGACTGAGCACCGAGCCAGGTGGTGGTAGCAGCGATGGTGGCGGTGGTAAAAAAATGCGGTCGCTGCTGCAGCGGCTGCGTAGCACCCCCAGCTTGAGTACCTCTTGTACCTCCAGCTCTAGTACATCCAGTACCTCCAGCTCCAGTACCTCCAATTCCTCCAGCTCCAGTGCCTCTAGTACCTCTAGCTCCAGCTCCAGCACCTCTAGATCCAGTACCTCCAGCTCTAGTATCTCCAACTCCAGTACCTCCAGCTCTAGTGCCTCCAGCTCCAGCACCTCCAGCACGAGTATCTCCAGCACCAACGTCAGGAACACCAAGCTCAGCACCCCCAACACCAGCACCTCCAGAGTCAGCACGGCGTCCAACTACCCACTCATGCAGCTGCTGCGGTGAGAGAGTCTCTTGCAGAGGAAGCTGCTGTCCACCCCCAGGCCCAGCACCTCCAGAGTCAGCACGACTCCCGACTACCCACTCACACAACTGCTACAGCGAGAGACTCTCCTGCGGACGTGATGGCAGCTGCTGCCCACCCCCAGGCCTTACACCTCCAGGCTCAGTACCCCCATGCTCAGCACCCCGAGAACCAGCACCTCCAGCGTCAGCACCATCAGAGCCCACACTTACAACACCACCACCTCCAGCAGCACCGAAGTCCACAGCGACAGGCTACAGAGGCGGCGAAGACAGCCGAGGCAGCAAGCCAGGAAGAACCAAGCGCAAGGAGCGGCGAGATGCCGCAGTGTCGTCAGCAGCAGGGTCACCCCTCCTTAGCCGGGCCAGACGAGACCTCCAAAGGCTCAACCAAGGGGGGTGCTGTGACCTGAGACACACCTGAGAAAGCAGGACGCAAGGGGGTGTGAGGGTCTACTGGGGGGTAATATGGATCCAAGAATAGGGGCGGCGGGGGGATAGGATAAGACACGTGGGGGAGGACAGTACGTGACACGTGGCTGGGTGTTAAAAATGTCAGCCCGATGCGTTAGTGGTAAAGCCAAGGAAGACGCAGCGAACGGTGCAAGATGATAGCTTGCCCCAAGTGGTATCGCGGAAAAGGGCAAGCGAACCCCAGACCCGAAACGCCGAAGCATTGCCAACCTCCCCCGTCAAATGCAGTGTAGGCGAGGTCTCTGGCTTGGAGACACAGGGCCAGAGGCTGAGCGGATGCGCGGCGTATCGGACTGCAAACGGCCACAAAAAATGGGGAGAAGCCGCATGCATCATGGAGGTGCGAGCAACCTCCATGACCAAGCCAATGCGGCGCTCGGCGATCCCAATTTGCTGTGGAAAATCCGGAAGCGTGAACGACTAGGTGATGCCCTCCTTACGACAGAAGTCCTCAAGGAGACCGGAGGAAAACTCACCTCTACGAGTAGAGTGTAGACGGATTTGGAGGTCCTGACAGAACCGTGCGCTCAGCTAGCGTCGAACAGCACGGATCGAAGGGATCAGGACAAGGGAAACACCGTGATGTAGCGCGTGTAGTCGTCGACGACCAGCAGGAAGTAGTGCTCCCGGCTTGGCCCAGGGACAGGGGCCGGGCCCCACACGTCCACGTGCAGGGTCTTCAGAGAAGCAGTGGTCGGAGGGAACGAGGAGGAGTAAGGAGCGGCACGCTGCCACCCCTCGACGCAGGGACTGCACGGTGGCACAAGCAATGGCGGGAGCGGGGGCAGGGACCTCGGAAGACTAGAGACAAGAAGACGTGAGTACATGCGACGCAGATGCTGCTGGGAGGGGTGACCAAGACGATGGTGCCAGAGGAGGGACGGGTGCATGAGCAACCGACAAGATCACGACGTAGCTACCTGACCGGGCGCAGCCAACGTGCAATGTGTACAGGCCAGACCCAGGCCTTCGAGTGAACGTGGCGAGGTGGTCACCAGTCACTAATTCCGTACAGATCGCCAAAAGCTCACCCCCAGGAGTGTTGGTAGAGACCAAGTGATCCTTGAGGACAGCGTTACTCACCAAGTTCGTAGCGAATGATTGGAGGTGGAAACCTGTGAGGGAACCAGAGGGGACCACCGGAGACGGGAGTACAGTGGAACTACATGCAATGACTGGACCAGAGGAGGGGTCAGGCAGAGTGACATGGACAGGTGTGGTGAGTGGTGTGACTATGGTGCAGCCACGAAAGAAGCAGCGAGACGCGCCGATTCCCACGTGAAGGTGAGCAAAGCCTTCGCCGAAACTGCACCTGTGCTAGTAGACTCACAAGCACCTAGACTAGCAGCCCCTACACCACCAGGGACGCGTTGCTGGGAAACCCTCCCCCGAAGCTGTTGCCCACCCCTAGAACCTCCGCCTCCACCAGTGGCACCACCTGTACGAGCATACGTACAGGTACCTACACTCGCCTCCTCGACCAGCTGATGCACCTCCCCTAACAACAGACGTCGCTGCCGCAGTGGCCGGCTGGCAGGAGAGAGGGAGGAGTAGTGTCTAACCATAGTGTCGTAAAAAGTATGGGCCGACGTCCCCTGACAAAAGTAGGCCCTCTGGTCGACCGGAAGGTGGGCTCGGACGGCAAGCTGCGCCACAGTGTCGCGCTCCATCCACAATGTGCGGAAAACGCGGCCCTCCTTGTACCGTCACTGCACGTCCTCGCCACTGTTAGCAACAGGCTCAGTGGGAGTCGTGGGGGCCTGAAGGGACCCTGACATTTGTTCAAAAAGGAAGACACCATCTCTAATGAAACGTCGGAGATACACGTGGAGGAACGCAAGCCACAACCCTAACTTGAAAGGGCGTGCGTCTGCGTCAACCGCTAAGATAGTGATAGTGGCCATGACAGGCAAAGGCAGTCAGCAGCAGCGGCTCAAGGGAGGCAGTAGCGACTACAGCGGCGACAACTGTAACGGCAGTTGCAGGGGCAGTGGAGGCAGGGGCTGTGGCTACAGCGATAGGGGCAGTTGCAGAAGTGGCGGCCGATGCCGCGGCAGTGGAGGTGGCAGCTGTAGCGGCAGTGGATGAGCAGGAGCGGCTCAGCAGCGCGCGCGGGCAAGCACGGCGCACGGAGTAGTGCATGGGCAGACATGTGGCAGCAGGGTGCTCGGGGCGCGTGGAGCAGTAGTGCGCGCGGGGCGCGGGGCAACAAGACGCATAGGGTGCACGGGGCAGCAGGGCATGTGGGGCGCGAGGCAGCAGGGTGCGCGGGGCGCACAGGGCAACATGATGTGCAGGGCGCGCAGAGCAGCAGGGCGCGCGTGGCGCGCGAAGCAGCAGGGTGCGCGGGTCGCGCAAGGCAGCAAGGCACATACGGCGCGCAGGGCAGCAGGGCGCGCGCGCGACATGCGGGGCAGCAAGGCGCGCGGGGCGCGGGGCAGCAGGGCGCAAGGGACGCGCAGGGGAGCAGGGCGCGCGGGGCGTGGGGCAGCAAGGCGCGCAGGGCAGCAGGGCACGTGGGGCGCGTGGGTAGCAGAGCGCGCGGGCAGCAGGGCGCGCGGGGCGCGCAAGGCAGCAGGGCGCGCACGGCGCTTAGGGCAGCAGGGGGCGCGCGACGCGCGGGGCAGCATGGCAGTGGCGCTCGAGGCGCAGGGCAGCAAGAGCACACCTAACCCATTCGGTAGTAGGTTCAGTAGTAGGTTCGGCAGTCGGACCTAACCTAGCGCATGACACCATGTCATAAAGAAACTGCAGCGGAAATGATTGACTAACAGCAATGGAGAGTACAAGTACTAACCCTAATGGGTTGTACCCTCTATGGGCTACCCCACTGTAGCCTAGACAACAAGCATGTAAAAGGCTTGACAACCCCTCTTCCCTCTGCCTCATAGTGTCAAGAGCATCAAAATCCCCCCCCCTGGCCAACCATCACAAATCGTACAGTGTATCACTCCCTCCGTATGGCTAAGAAGAAGAAGAAGAAGAAGATCAAGAAGAAGAAGAAACATGAAACGACAATTATCATGTGCATTCTCTGTGTTCGGCTTCCTCTAGTTAATG